GAGGTGACTGACCAGTTGGCTTGACTCTGTCATGCTCAGCCCTCTTCAGCGGAACAGCAGCTGCAGGACTCTTATTTTTGTGATGTGGAGCATGTCAGGGTGTGTGGCAGGGGGAACCGAAATATCCTCTGCTGATTTTTTATACCTACAGATTTTTTTCAATGCTCATTTTGGAAAAGGGAAGCCCTCACTGAGGCCAAATTCATGGGTTTTTCTGTAAATGATTTTTTTTTTTTCCCCTCAAACTCCATCCGTGACGGCCTTCCAATGGTATGGAAAGGCAATATGGTAAACTTCTCAGCCTGAAATAGGAGATTCCCAAAGAGGACCAGGGGACTCACGTCCAGATGGAAAGGTTTTTCTAAGTGATGGACAATTGCATGCCCACAGCAGAATTAAAGGGCCCTCAGATCACAGGATCAATGGTGAGAAACTTCTTGGATTTCCACAGGAGACTTGGAGGGCTCTCAGACCACAGGAAAAATAGTGAGAAAGCTTCAGCCTTTCAGGTGTGCTTCCTGGAGCTACAATTTGATCAGGGGATTATTAAAATCTCTGGTCAACTCTACCTTGGGAAAGTGGGCTTTCATCTTCTCTGCTGGTGTATTCTTATTTTGATCTCTCATTTTGTTTTCTTTGGATATTTTTTCTTTTTTATCATTATTTTAAGAAATCATTCTAAATTTTTAAAAAAATTTCTTTTAAATATTTCAGTTTAGTTGTTTTGAAGTTAGCTCAATTCAAGACCCAGAGGCCCCAAAGTGAGGCAATCATGATTTCAGACAAATTTCTTTTCTTCTCCCAAATTTGTATTTGTGGGCTCAGTTCTTATCTGATGGCCGTAGGGAGCACAGTGTTGACTGTGAAATTAAAAATGTTTATTGTTGCTGCACATAGGTTGGTGCAGCACCAACAGCAAGTTTCAATGTGCAAATACACTTGGCTGGTGGGCTCCGTTGGGGATTGTCCTGAGGCTTTGGATTCTGGTATTTCATGGGCACTTTGCAAAGACACCATCAGAAGCACCCCCTCCTGCCTGCTGGGGTGGAGTCAGTTACGGGATTCCTTGGCAGCTGGCTGTGGACACGTGGAGGGGCACTCAGGAGACCCTTGGGAGCTGTGGGAGTTTGGGGACTGCAATAGGAAGAGGCGGGAATTTAGAAATTGCTCGACATATGGTCTGCTGTGCTAGGGCACACCTGTTGACACTGTGAGTTCCAAGAAAGTCTGGGCATTAGAGGGTGATACTCTCTGCTCACAGCACCTGCCCTAAGCCCTTTTTGTTCATTGGTTTAAAAACAACAGGAGACAGGAAGTCCTCACTCTACAAGATCCTAAAGGTGCCCAGATGGTCCCTTTCCAGCTAAGTGTGTGGTGTGTCCACTTTCTGGGAGGGAGTGGGACCAGGGAGCCTCTGGGCTCTTCCCCAGAAGTCTACATGCAAACAAGAGGTGGGTGAGCCTACATATACCTGTCTTCGAACTGGTCTGAGATGTGTGCATATGGGGCTGAGCTTTTCTTTTCTTTTTTTTTTTTTTGAGACCGAGTCTCACTGACGCCCGGGCTAGAGTGCCGTGGCATCATCCTAGCTCACAGCAACCTCAAACTTCTGGGCTCAAGCAATCCTTCTGCCTCGGCCTCCCGAGTAGCTGGGACTAAAGGCATGCGCCACCATGCCCGGCTAATTTTTTCTATGTATTTTTAGTTGTCCAATTAATTTCTTTCTATTTTTAGTAGATACGGGGGTCTTGCTCTTGCTCAGGCTGGTTTCGAACTCCTGAGCTCAAACAATCCACCCGCCTCGGCCTCCCAGAGAGCTAGGATTACAGGCATGAGCCACCGCGCCCGGCCGGGGCTGAGCCTTTCTTGATCTCTGGGGGAATTAAGAGGATGACCACAGTGCTTGGACCCTCAAATAACTCCATCCCCCAAATTTCTCCTGAGTGCACTATCCTCAGACTGCACTTTGTGCCTAAGGAATAGCTGGAAACCTAGCTGGAGACAAGTGTCGGTTGAGTGATATGGCTGTGAGCACAGCTGATGTGGCCATGGGCGACCCCGAGAAAGAGTGAGCAGAGCAGAGTGTGGGAGGGGCAGGTGTCCCTGCTCTCTGCTACATTGGACCACACCTGGGGGCTGTGGCCAGCACTGGGCATCACCCAGCAGAAAGGGAAGCAGCAAATGGAACTTGTGCAGGAGTGAAGCACCCAGGAGGCAGTTTGGGGGGTTAAAGCACGTTATTGAGAAACAGCTGAAGGAATGGGACGTTCCATTCCTTCAAATACACATGGGCATGTGGTATATATCTTCAGATGCTGAAGGGAACACCACTACTACTACTAATGATAATATTAGCTTACACATATTAAGTGCTCTGTGCCAAGCTCTACTCTAAGCACTTTAGATGTAATTTTCAAATTACCCTATGACATACATACCATGACGATCCTCATTTTATAGATGAGAAGGCCATAGATAGATCAGGAATTGTGAGTTTCATTAGAAGATAATGCAAGGAAATAAATGGTGCTGGTTAACATGAGGCAGGTTAGGTAGAGTTTTCTGACATTATAGCTCTCCAAAGGAAGGTGGAAGAGGGTGGAGGGAAGGGAAGAAAAATAACATGTATTGAGCATCTACCATATGCCAGACATGGCCTTGGGAGCTCCCCATGTATTATTTCAGTTAATCCGCACAATAACTGTGTGAGAGAGGGATTATTATTCCCATTTTACAGATGAGGAAACTGAAGCCCAGAGATGTTAAATAAATCTAAGAACTTTCTACTGGTAAGTGACAGCCCAGATTTGAATACAGGTATTTTTGGCCCTCAAGTCCACTGTCGCTGCTGTTTAGACAAAGGTAAAGGTGCACAGGTGGTCCCGGGGCACAGATACCAGGTGGGCTCCCCTGCCATGCACTGCCATATCAACCTGAGTCTCACAGGCTGTGACGTTTCTCCCACTGGTAACTGCTCTGCTGCTTGTCTTCCCCACTGACTGCAAGATCCCCATGGGCAGGGCTGCATCTGTCTTGTTCAGTGCTGAGTTCGTAGTGCCTGGGAATGTTAGAAAGAATGAATGAATACCAGTAGAGATCCCTCGTTCTGACAGGGGAAGTTCAAATGAGGATAATTAATTTCCTGTTGGGATATTATACAGAGAGTCTTGTATTAAACCAGGGATGAATTATCAGTGGTTCTAATCCCAGTAGCTCTTGCTTGGGAGATTGTTATACATGTAGATTCCTAGGCCCACATCGGATCCCTAGAATCAGACTCTCTGGGACAGGACCTGGGTATCTGTATTTCGCATCACTCCCTGTGTGATTTGCTACCTGACCGGGTAAGGGACCCCGGAGGATGGGCCTAAGGTCTACCCTGAGATGCTAGGATTCCTGATGCCACATCCTCTGCCC